GAAGTTTACTTCAACCTCTTTTTAATGATGCAAACCGCATCAATCGAGAAGAGTCATGCGAAGAGGATGAGCAACGCACTGCATCCGTGTGCAAAGTTCATGCGGAGCATGATTTCAAACAGATACTTGAGATTTGAGTGAGATTTCATGCGTAGGTTAACACATGATAAGCTGGTTACAAATTCAAAATCTCCTTCACCTATAAGGGGTTGGCTGCAATCATCTAAAGGAGGGAGAATGGTTGTTATTAAATTCTAATTCAAGAGGAGAAAATGATGGTTTGGTTATATCAAGAGGAGAAGAGCGAAGGAGAAGTTAATCATTCAAACTCTAAAGGAGATATTCTAGGATCTTTAAAGACAATATTCAACAATTCACTCAATCATTCAAACTCTAAAGGAGATATTCTAGGATCTTTAAAGACAATATTCAACAATTCACTCAATCATTCAAACTCTAAAGGAGATATTCTAGGATCTTTAAAGACAATATTCAACAATTCACTCAATCATTCAAACTCTAAAGGAGATATTCTAGGATCTTTAAAGACAATATTCAACAATTCACTCAATCAAAAGATAACCGGACAAATAATCATAAATGGATGAAATTAATTCAATTTCTAAAAAATTATCTAGTTTTTTTATTTGACTATTAAATAAATTATATAAATTCTTATGAAAAGAGGTATTCTAACTTATTTAGTGTGATATTATAAGACTAATTAATCTTTATTATTTATCTTATCTTTTTTGGCTTTTATCTTATCCATGAGGATGCTTATGAATAACCCCATGTAATAGGTCTTTTTTATGGCAAGTTAAGATACAAGTCATGTAGATTTGAAGAGATTCTCCCTTTCTCACTCCTAGCCAGTACAAAGCCTTTCTCCTCTATGTTGATTTGAGGTTCGTGAGGAAAGTTTTAAGACCTTGGTTGTTAAGGCTGCCAAGAAGATTGTCTTAATCAGAGAACTTCTTTGTTTAGAGTAAAATGACAAAAGAGATACTTTTATCATAAGCATTGAGATTAAGATAAATGTTGGACATGTCTTTCTGAAGGTCTTAACAATACGAAGCATTACTAGATTTGGTTGAAGTAGGAAGCTTTGACCTGGATTCATTGGGCCATTGAGGTGATTAAGAGTGTGGGCAATGTTAACGCTTCCTCCAAAGTTTATAAGAGTGCATAATGTCTTCTTTCATGTTCCTTATTTATTGTGCTATTTGAATTTTGGGGGCTCCAACATCAAATTTGGCTATTCCAAATGCAAGGCAAAAGTCTAGAACAAGCTTCCAGATCACTCTAAATCAAGCTTCTAGAACCTTTTAGAAGGATAAATGAACCTTCAAGAAGATATGTAGAACTTTCAAGAAGGTGTGGGTAATCTTCTAAAAGGCTTTAGAAGTAATTTGGAGACATGATGAGGATGGTTATAAATTCAAAACGTCCTCACCTACTAGGGATCGACTGTAGTCATCAAAATGAGGGAGAAGGTTTGTTGCTAAAATCTAATTCAAGGGGAGAAAGATGAGGTTTTGTTATGTCAAAAAGAGGAGAGAGAAGTATTAGGTCTTTTTTGTGGTAATTTATGATATAGGTCGTATAGATTTCTAAGAGATTCTTCCTTTCTCCCTCTTAGCCAGCTACAAGGACTTTCTTGTCACAACCCGACTCGATATGATTTGAAACTATATAGGTCATACTGTGTCCGATTATGGTAAACTCAAGCCTCAAGATTCAGTTGGAGAAGTACTGAAACAAAACTTCTAATTTAAACACACCACAGAGCCACTACTGAATACAAATAAAGTGGAAGATTGATGAATCTCAAAATTAGTCTATTTATCATCCAAAAATACATATATAATCTGAGGTATCTACAACAGCGCTTGACAATAGACAACATAACAAAATAAAAGTCAAGCCTATAAAAATCAAAACTAACCAAAACATATGTACAGCACAGATCAAAGCCTGCTATACTAAACTACTCAGCTCGCTTTCACTTTTCCTATACTGAAAATGAAAGTAAAAGTAGGAGTGAGCTAACACGGCCTGGTAGGCTATCATAACCTAAAGAATTCAATAACTAAAACCAAAAGAATTGAAAATATTGTACTGTAATAATAAGCTAATTTCTTTGTGATTTAATAAGACTTCAGTTGCAAAGCCAAAGGAAATGAAAGAGGCTAAAAGTATATATATATATATATATATTATTTTGGTTTTTCAATTTGAAGTAACATTCATAGATGAATGGTACATGTGCTTTTCGAAATCAAATTGGATAATGCACATCTTTGTAGACTAATGTGTGGTAGCTGATGGTTTTGTTTAAATATTTAAGCTTAAACCTTTGAAATAAAAAGTATGCTTTCATTTTGATAATCTTGAACTTGTATATTAATAGTATGTAGCAATTTCTTAAATTTAGGTGGTGAAAACAGGCAGAGTAACAAAATTAGATAGGGATCATGCTTGGGGTGAGCTGCAACGTGCAGCTAGAGAAAAGAAGACACATCCATTTTATCGAGCTGTTGATAAGAATGGATGCATGTACGCAGGTAACTATGCATTGTTTTGAGAATATCCAGTAAACTGATTCTTTTTATGTGCATATTCATTCCATCCTATAAATGTATTTTTCAATGCCTGAATTTTCTTTGTATCTTATTCTATAAAGCACAACCATGTGGAAACATTTAAGAAGTATCACCGCTTAACTTATTTGTTTTTATTAAATGCATGATCTGTACAGGTGTTTAGACAAGCTTTTCAGTAATTTATTATTTGGTTAGTGAAATCACCATAGTCGTCATTGTCATTTCTCTTGATGCATGCATGCACTGTTATATTTGATAGCAGGCATCTTAAAACTTGCAAAATTTCTTTCTGAGGTTAGGCATGATGTGAGATATATAAAATCATCTCTCAAACTATCCCTATATGACTTTAGTTTTTGACTCAAATAGGCTTATCTGAACTATTATGATGAGTTGGACTAATTACAATCTATTAGTCAAACAAGTGCTAACTTTAAAAAAAATTCTAGTTGATGCTTTGATTACATTAGCCTTTTTTTGTTTCGAATTTCTCATCACTATTTGATTGAACTTTTAAATTTATTTTGACTGGTTTATTTATTTTCTCCTAGCCTTCACCTCATTCTTTCTTACCTCTATAGAGTTCCCTTTTAACTTTCTTGGCACTTGCTTTGCCTTGCTCCTTTCTTCCTCCAAATCTCTCCTTTGTTCTTGTTTGTAAGTAATTTGTTTTTTGTTTGAGAGTGAACGTTTGTTCGTTAGCTTTTAAGAGGTTTGAGTTCCTTCATTGCTTTCTCGGTTTTAAGCCGCCAGTGTTATTTATTCTCCTGAAGATTCTTATTTAAGGTTTGCAAATCCTTACACTAGTACATTTATCTAGTTGTCACAATGTTAATATTTTATGTTTTCTATACCAAAAAGTATATGGGATTGTGAAAACTATCAGCCTAGATTTGTAGAATGTACCCCTAATGGTAGTAAAATTAGTTAGAATGCAAGTATGATACTCCAACATAATGGTGAATTAAGAGCAGAAGAAGATTTCACACCAGCTTATATTGAAAGTATCAATAGATTTATCCAAGTACTAATAGATATTCCGTTGTTTGGGTTAAAGCATAGGATTCAATGAACTAAACATTGATGGCTTGAATTATGAGATGAACTTTGTATGCCATTACCCTATTAATTACAGTTTCATGGTTGCACGTGTAATTGATGAAGAAGTCTGTGAAGCCTATTTTGTCAGAGGCTAAGGAACATGCTCTGATCAAGTTGAACATATTTGCTTTGTTGAAGCTGAATAAATCCAAGCTAATGTCGATTAAGTTGAAAATATTTGCTTTCATTTTGTGCCTTCAAATATATAGAGTGGATGGTTGGATGCTATCAATTAATCTCCACAAAGTTTTTGAATAATGGATACTCGAATTTTGCCCTCATGGTACATGATTTTGGTTTGTAACTATTATCATCTGTCCTTTTTAATACTTTTTTTTTTAAATCTTACAGTTATAAATGCAAATACTTTAATTTATAAGCTGACACCTACCCCCATGAATCAATTAAACGCTTTCACTTTATAGGTACAACTTTTAGCCTAATTAGATCACCATGAATATGGAGATATTTATACTTTGAGGCAAGATTCGACGCAAGATTGGACTATTGACCCCTACACTGAAATGCACGCAAAAGGAGCAAAATCGGCGAATCATGTGATGTGCGCGTAGGTGTGGCATGTCACTTGAAGGGCCAAAGAACCTCCTATTGCCAAACGGACTACACCGTTGCAATCAGAATGTCGAATTTGCTTAAATGGGACCAACTTGCGGTAGAATCAAATAAGATCAGTCAAAAGGGACGATCGACACACGAAATTGATGTACGACGTTGCTCAAATGACATCCGTTCGTAAAATAAATTTTGCGTTGCGTTCGAAGTGTCGCCAATACCCAAAAGTACCTATATATTCATTCAATTGAAGTCGCGTGAGGAAATCGGCGTGGATCCTAAGGCAACGGTGCAGAAGTCGAGAAAATTGACATGTTTCGTCTCCCAAATGACGTCCGATCTCAAAATAGACTTCGTCGTTGTGTTTGAAACGTCGACAATACCTAAAATGAACTATAATTTTGTCCAATGAAATTCACGCGCTAGAATCGGCACAAGTTTCAAGGCGACGGTGCGTGAATTTGAGAAAAGTTCATAAAAACTGAGGCAAAAATCTCTATTTTGATTTCTATTATTTTAATAATAATAATTATTATTTTTTTAAATAATTATTATTATTATAAAGAAATAATAATAAAATAAAATAAATTAAAATCAAATTAAATAAACATTTACTGTAGCCCGATCGTCCAACGACGAGCTCAGCACGTCGCGTATCCTTCTCCGGACGCTTGATGTCTTGTTGTGCACAAACTTTAAATGCTCTCTACCCGGTCCCTGCTGTCTCTTCATCAAAAAAAGATCGAAATGAGGCTCTTGACGCGGTTCTTTCACTGGAAATCGAAGCTTTGCACTCCGTTCGTCTCTTTCTATAGAATAAGAAGAGAGGTGTCTCGGAGAGGGCTAGTAACGCCCAGGAGGAAAACAGAGGATAGGGAAAAGAACAAAGTAATAATCTATTCATTTCATCTACAAAATACAGGAGTATATAAAGACACAATGGGTAAAGAAAGTACAATCAAGAAAAGTACGTCCTAGGCTAACGGTACAGAGATAAAGCCAATCCTAGCTTGCCAAGTGTACTGTTGGCTAACAGCCCCCCTCAAACTAATGGCTGTGTAGTAGCGATAAGTTTGCTGGATAAATGTGATGCCCCAAGATCTAACTTGGAAAGAATGTCAATCTATTTCTCAAACAATTTACCAGAGCTATCTAAAACCTTCAATTAACCAGTCTATCAAACATCTATGAAATTCAAAACATCAATATATAAGTCGATTGATATTTCAAAAAGTCATGTACAAAACTCAGGAACTATACTACAATCACCAGTTCTGAAATCTATCCTGAGTACAAAAGAATCACTATCAATCAAAAGACAAAAACCTGAAGATCTGGATCAATTCCTATCTTCTGCTCCCTTGCCCTGACCTGAAAATATCAACCACATATAATGAGCTTTACAAAGCCCAGCAGGACACCTAATACCTATAACTAAAATCAAAGTACGGCGATGCTATCAATATGCATGTCAGTCAATCAAACCCATATCAGTCAATGGTCAATGAATCTATGCAATACGGAAATCCA